CTTACACAACATAGGAAGGGTGCATGTGTGTGTGTGTGTGTGTGTGTGTGTGTGTACTAATTCCTTATAATAAGACAGTATGTATACATAGAGAGGGAGTGCACATGTACATGTGCATACTGGTATATATATGCACATATTGACAAAAACAAAACTGCACACGGGCACACACGTGAACCCTACACAACATAGAAAGAGAGTGTGTGTGTGTGTGTGTGTGTGTGTGTGTATGCATATGTGTATATACGTTTTTACTAATTCTTTATAATAAGAATATGTGTACACATGCTGACAAAAATACAAAAAAATGAAAATAGATCTAAGAACACACAGGGGTCCTTAAAAGATAAAAATACAGATATCTTTCTCACCCTTTCTCGGACCAGTCTTAATTGTTTTATTACCCTTCATGCAGAACTTTTTCACTGCCAGTTCAAGGAAGACATTTGGGGTCACTAACACACAAAAAGAGAATGTCTAATATCAAGAATATTTAACATCAAAAAACATAAGAAAAATTAATTCCTTTTAATATGTGGAGATATCCACTCTTTGCCTGATGAAGGTCACAAGACTGGAAACTCGTGTAGCAAAATTATGGAAAATAAAGCATAATATATTTAAAAAAAAATCCACATTACAACCAAAAACGTTTGTGGTTTCTTTCTTTTTAATATACACACTTTTCTCTCATATATATATGTGCATTATTTTAATATATATATATATATATATATTGTTTATATGTTATTTTTATAGATACAAATACTTAAGTAAATGCTATGTTTATAATAAACAGTATTAACATTTACTGGCCTAAATGTTTGAGAAACTTTATAGAAAATATGTGTCCTCCAGCAGAAATCGAACCTGTATCCTGCACAGAACCGTCATATAGCCTGACAAGCTATACCATTTAGCTACAGATCAAGTGTCTGGTTAGCAAGGTTGAATTACTACTTTTAAACTACAAATTTCCCATGAAATCTCTGTAGCTAAATGGTATAGCACATCAGGCTATATGATGGTTCTGTGTAGGATACAGATTTGATTCCTGTCAGTGGACACATTTTCTATGAAATTTCTCGGACGTTCAGGCCGGTAAATGTTGTCAATATTGTTTATTATAAACAGAGAATTTACTTAAATATTTGTATCTATAAAGTATAAACAATATATTAATTGCCAGACTTAGTCCATTTCATGATATATGAATTATAAAGAAACTTAATGTAGAACCTACCGTCAAATTCCCACATGAACATGAAATAGACAAATCTGTACCTTTCCTTGACATCTTAATATATAACAAGAACAAATTAAATTTTGAAGTTTACTGCAAACCCACAAAAAAAAAAAAAGATTTAATCAATTTTTATTCCCACCACAATCAAACATTTTTTTTGACATACAGTGGCCGTTAATAATTAAGTATAATCCAAGACTTCAATGTTAAATAAAACAGTATTTAATTACAATTGCAAATAAATACTTAACAAGAACAAAGAAGTAAAAGTCCATCATTTCAGTGAATATCTTGTTAGTAGTGTGGCTCAGCTTAACGTCCAGTAAATCCTAAATCAAGACACAAATCATTGACACACAATAATTCACACTCATTCGACTGGATAGTTCCACTCAATAATCACTCCAGTCAGTAGCCTGACACCGCTTTTTATACATCTGGCGAAAAACACATATTCATAAGTTCAGAGTGTCATACTCAAACCTCGGTGTGAGTAGCTAATCATTTTTTTCCTATTTGACAAAAGAAAAATCAGGACTAATCATAGGATTTTACTTCAGAGCCCTTAAAATATGCAGTCCAGAATATCTAGGTGAAGAAATAAAATATATTATATTGAAAAAACGTTTAGACTTCTTCATGACCTACATCATTTCATCTTCAGTGTTGGAAAAGAAGTATGCTATGTGTACAAATTCAAAAAAGCAGACCAACATCATAGGTACTTCTGAAAATAAAAATACACAATTTGTAATCCTAGCTTGCAACATTCTGTCAGCAAAATTTCTGTCAACAAAATTTGAAAATAAACTAATTATCCCCAACATTAGGAACTTTACCACCACTATATCAGAGACAGGGATTTATGACATAAAATGCCAACAATGTAGAAAAAGTTACATTGATAAACTAACTTTGAATGTAAAAACTGCGTCTATGAACATAAGAGAGACATACATTGGGACAATCCTTTAAAGTCACTCATAATACATAACAGGCCATAACTTTGATTTTGTAAATGGCATGATAATATATATATATGTATATGTATGTCTTTTTTCTTTGCTTTGTTCATAGCCTAATATTTGTTTTTCAATTATACCTTCCTTAACTTTCATCAATTAAACCCTCTTTTTATCTATATATCTTTTCTCATGTATGTAAAATTTTGATGGTTTGTTCTCGCTTATTAATACTTTCAGGCTTGAATCTTGGTGGGTCTATGTCATTATTAGTATATATATGCGTGTGTGTGTGTGTGTGTGTGTGTGTGATTGCTTGTATATTCTTTTAATTGTATGTATATGTGTCTGATATTATTTTCGTTGATGTGGATTTCTCTATTTCCTGTGTTGACCGTGTTTTTGCGTGTTTATATATCTGAATATATTTACATATTTGTGTATTATGATGTGATTGTGTCTGTCTTATCATTTGTGAAACTTCTTCCTCTGCCCACATCATTTGAATTCAGATCCCTTTAATTATATCTAAGTTGTTACGATGTTTGAATCTCCTTAGATTAGTGGTTGCTCTAACTGAAAATTTGTCTTTTCAATTAAAACAAAAAATAAATAAAAAAATACATACATTTTCCTCTGTTCCTTCTTCAAATAATTTTATAATATTTTAAACTTTTAACTTTTAGGTTAAATTTAAAATTTAAAATTTGTAATTTTTATTTTTTTAACTTTATAGTAAAATTAAAAATTAATCAGAATGGTTCCTAATTTAGTCTAACATTAACATTAAGGCATTAATAAATTGTATCTAAGGATTGTTGTCAAGTTTTTTGAATTATTATATACTTATATTTTGATTGGTTATTGTAGCTTACATAAAAATGTTTCCCCCATTGCGGGGTGTTTCATTGGTTTTGAACATTCTAAAGCTCTTTATTCTGTTATCAGCACCATCACTTGACAAAACATCTGAAATGTTTAAACAAAATGACTATTTTTGTAGTGATGTTATAATTTTTGAATAAATACTCTGTGTGTGTGTGTGTGTGTGTATATATATATATATATATATATATATATATATATATATATATATATATATATATATAACTAATTTGTGACTGGTAGGGATAATTCCAAGGAGGATATTAATCCAGAGAGAGCTCAATGTAAACTACAGAGCATTATAATAATAATAAATTAAGCAATAAACCATAAAAATCCATTTCAGTTATTGTCCCGATCTATCAAGAACTTTCAGTCTGAAGAGATGAATACAGAAATATTCACAAAATAAATTATAACCAAAATGGATCTTTAAGGCTTTCTTCTTGATTATATATATATAATATATATATATATATATATATATATATATATATATATATATATAAAAAGGTGAGAGAGAAAAGGGTGAGAGAAAACAGTGCATACTGTGCAGAAGTCTTTGACCAACTTAAACTACTGTAGATTACCAGCTTAGTGAATATTTCACATTGACCAAACTGAACTTATTTCAGTACTTAATTGTTTTCCTGACCACTATAATTGTGACCTCTTCAAGTCTAGAGTAAACTGTTATCATTCCCACAGAACCTCATGAACTGCACTTCTTGCCTTTTCTTACACTCATACAACACCATTCAGTAAACCTCTACCTTGAGTGACTCTTTGGCTTTGTATTAGGTGAACAACAGTATTAAAAAATATAAGCATACTTTGAGATTTGATGAAGCATATCTGCTTAAACTCCTGTTGGTGATTCCCCATAAACTTTTCTATTGGATTTTCATCCAGATCATTTGCAGGCCAATTCAAGAACAGTTACTCTATTCTCTCTAAACCATTGCTTGGTTTTAAGGCTTATCAACCTTTTTGAAGTTATTTAAGGCTGCAACATATTTTGGGAATGTAAAACTTTTTGGGGAATAATAATGATTCTCTGATAGAAGTCCTATTATTTAATCTATAGCTAGGAGGAGAAGAGGTGGATTTGCATATAAGTGAATATAATGAACCCAAATGGAATTTGAACTCAGCTCTGATTTCTCATTCCAAACCCTTATCTATGACTCCACCTGCACACCTAATCTTACAGCACCTGATATTCTTAAGCAGTCACCCATCTAGGTATTGACCAAGCTCAATGTTACTTAACTTGTGTGATCATATGAGAACCAGTGTTTAAACATAATATGGCCATAAGCCAATTTTGCTATAGGAGATGGAGCAATGTCCTGATGGAAAAGAAATTCATTGTCCCCTAAATTTGTCTTCAGTGTATGGGATAAGGAAATAATGTAGGCCATCCCAAGAGACAGCAGCATTAAACAATCCTCTTAAGAAAGAAACGTTTCCAACACTCCCAATAGACATACAACCATATATATCATGAATTTCTCCAGATGTAATGGCCACAATCACCAAAGGAAAGACATAATTTGGATTCATCACTGAAAATTGCCTGATTCCATTGATCAACAGATCAACTCTGATGGTCTTTAACCCAGTTTAAACACTTTGGTTTCTGCTTCAAAAATTAGTCTTGACTTCAAAATCGGTATCATACCATAATATCTAATCTATTTATTATTTTAACTTTGGAACTGTAGTTGAACCATTTTGAACAAGCTTCTCTTTTTATTTTTGAAACAGTAAACAGCTGCCTGCTTTTGGGTTTTGCTAGCTTATCACAGCACATGAGATTTTTGGTGCTGCAAATTTTTCCATAATTCTTGCCATTTATGATATTTCACAACAATATGCTGGACACCAAAGATTCCATGGGGTTACAGTCACATCACAGTGAAGCACCAGTTCCCATACAATTACCAAAATTAAGCAATATTGACCTTGGTCAGTACCTAGATGGGTGACCACTTGGGAATACCAGGTTCTGTAAGCTTGAATGTTATGGGTGGTGTAATAAACAATGGCTCAGAATTGTTAACTGGAGAGCTGAGTTCCAATTCCAGTTGGGTTCATTATATTCACTTATTCACAAATACCCTTGGGGAAGGTATGAATCCACCTCTTCTCCCTCAGCTATGGGTTAATTTGTAAAACTTGTATCACAAAACCATTATTATACAACCTACAAAATTCTTACAATGTTTTTTTTGGCTTTAAATAACCTGTAAACGGTTGATAAGCAGTAGAAAATGAATCAATAAAATCAATGAATAAAGATTCTGCTGTTTTTATAGGAATATTTTGAGATTGGGAACACTTGTAAAACAACCTCATATTTAAAGGATCAAATTAATTTAGAATTGTCAGGAAGGAAATGCCATATTATTTACGTCAACAAATTGATATATTGATGAGAATAAACTAATTTTGAACAAATTTGGTAAAGAAAACTGTGAAATAATCTATTTTCTGACTCATTGTTGTATATCTTGAGACTGATCATTAAGTGAAGACCTTTACTGGTAATCCTCTTATATTGAACACTTTGGAATTATTATGAAATAGGAATATTATAGTATTGCTAACCCACTTTACAATATCTGATATCAGCAATACAAGAGAAGTAACTTTAGTATAAAAATATGTTACAGACATTACAGACAAAATTACATTTTTTTTTATATATACTGCTTATAAGTGTGTATCAGCCGACTTCATGTACAGTGCAACCCTTGAATTTTTTTGCATGAATTTTAACCCCTCAAGAAAAAAATTTACCTGTGTATAGTACAACTGGTCACCAAAAAATTAATGATTTTTAACCTATTCAAAAAAAAAAATTACCTGTGTATAGTGTGATCCCTATTTTTTATATAAATAGCTGATCATAAAAAACTTGCACTATACTCAAGTGTGTGTGCATATATATATATATATACACACACACACACCCCATCTACACAGTTTCACTCACAAGGCTTGTCAACATATGGTATGGTTGTTAGGCCCTTTCGTGTGGTGCTGCATGCTGGGATTGATTACCCAGACTGATAAAATCTGGAAGTCCCCTTCCTGACAAATAACTAGAATGGAAAATAATGACATAATGAAAATGCTAACTTACCACACTACATTAAACAAATGGTTAGAAAGGAAACTTGTCAATACTAGAAAGGGCAATAACAGCTTGTGGGCTTAAGAACCCTTTTTTCTTGAAAAACTTTTTCAAAAGAAATTTCTTAAATTCCAATGTGTTTCCTGTATGGAAATGCTTAATCTCACTATTAACATTGAGTTTTTATGAGTTAATTTTATATTTTGAATTTATCACACTTGCCTAGGTTAGAGAATACAAAGAAATTGGTTGTCTTGCAAGCTTCTTTATATGCCATGTCTCCTCAGGATGTAGGCAATCATGGCTCTCCACAACATCCTATCCTTTGCAGCTCTTAATAAATTTTGTCTTTTTGTTATTTCTCCTAAACCCTGTTCTGCCATTCATTTACTTAAGTTCACTAAATATGTAATGCGTTGTTTTCCTCTGCACCTCTTCAATTTGTCCTGTGAGTATCAGATTTCTCAAGCTCTCTTTCCTCATTATGTGCCCTAGCAGTTTCAACTGTCTGTTGAGAGTAAATTAATTATTTGATAAGTACTCGAAAATGCAATTTGTTTGGGTCAGTCAAATGAAAATGATCTTTGAATAAATGTTTGCATTTATCTACAACAGAAGCTTTCCTGGCAAAAAATATCTTGAAACATCGAATGAAATGTAAACAAAATCAACACACTGTTTGCCCTCTTGGTTCTCTTTATATCCCTCCTTCTTTACTCTCAGTCAGAGCCCCACCCACTTCTACAAAATGGATGTCAGAGACTAACAAACATATAAATTTCCTCATAGAACAGAAATGCTTTCTTGAAAACTAAATAAAACCTGGTACATAACCAACATATGTTAAATTCTAACCCTGTCTCCTTTCAGGGGCACATCTCAATTAGTATTTTGAAAAAAGACATTGTCTTGTAGTAGAAGTCCCCATCTTCACAGACTTAACAGTGATGATGATGATGGTAACACTTGGACTGAAGAGTAATGTATGTGTTGCTTAGCAACTACAGGGAAGCTGATGCACACTGACCATGTATGTCTGGGAAAGATGGAAAGAAAATAAAAGCAAAATAGGTGAAGGCATAATAGCTACGGAGATGAGAGAGGAGGCAAAATCTACTTTGATTGCAAAATACATGGACAGTAAATTATAAGATGTTAATACAGAGGAAAAAATATGAGGGCCATATTAAGCATTGTTAAAATTAGCATTGCAAAACACATGAAGCCAATAATTTGGCCATGTATTGACAGTAGTAAAGACATTTAGATTGGTAAGTATTTATGTACTTACAGTGAAAGATAATTGGTTTTATGATTATAGACCATCAAGAACCTTAAATTTATTTTCAATGAATCAATAAAGTTCAATTCTAATAAAAACCAATAAAAGGTAAAGAAATAAAATAAAGTTCAGTATAATAATTTAATAATAAAAAAAAGTTGTGTATGTATAAAGCATATTTAGGTACCAAGAATTCACCTGAACAAGTTTTATTCATGCAATAAAAACTGACATAATAAACCAAGACAAGACGAAAACATTAAATACAATAATTAACCATAGAGAAAAGTAAAACTGAAAAAGAAAAATATTACAGAATGAACTAACCGGTTATCACTCCTCACTCATCAGAACTCGATCAAGGAACTTAAAATATTGTGCACACCAACTAAAAAAAGGGAAACATGAAGAAAGAAAATACACCTGTATTAATAATTTATAAACTGATTACACAAAGTCCTCACAACCAACTTTATGTAAATAAAGTTGGTTGTCTTGATTTAATACAAATTATTTTGAGGACATTTAAGTGATAGTTGGAATGTTATCTGCTCAAAAGTGAGAACATATCCTCATGGAATTTATGAATTATATTTTGTACCTCTTATAAGAGCTTTGAAGAACTTTTGATAAGTTCTAGTGACTAGGTTTGTTTGTTCCATTTTTTCATTAGATTTTTCCAATAAATAGGTCTTTATCCAAATGAAAATTGTGGCTAAACTGTCCAAAATTCAAGTTTTTTTTGCACATTTCAAGTTCTTGATAATTGCTGAGATGGTGAAAGCACTAAAATAAATGGAACAATTATATGAACTTTGGACAGTTTATCCACAAATTTTAATTTGGTTGTACAACTTATTCCAAATTTACCAAAATACAATAATAACGAAAAAAAAAAGGCTATTTATATTGTTCAAACTTTTATCTTTATTGCTATATTCACAACATTTTGGCTGTTCTATGTACCGGCTTTCTTCAGGTGATATTTAGAATTTTGAACTGAACCCTTTATTTAATCCACAGTGGGTATAGATTGTTCTAATTCTATGCCTTTGGGTATATCTGTTTTAGTTAATTCCCCTTGACAAGTCAACTCTCCAAGTTTTTGTTTTTTCTGCTGTGGCTGGGATTGAACTCACAACTCTTTGGGTCAATTCCTCTTTTGGATGAGTCAACCAACGCTTTATCCACTGGACCATGTGTGATAAGTAATTTCTTTTTTTGTGAACCAATTGTAATATGTTGAACAGAAAATTGATAAACAAAAACAGAAATTACTTATCAGACGACCCAATATTGATACATCTTTTTAATATTTACGAATATTGCTTAATGGATTAGGCTTTGAAGACTTTCTAAAATTTACTGGAATCAGTCAATTTCAATGTAGACTTTATACTATTGTTGATTAATACAAGAAGAAATGTGTGTGCATGTGTGTGTGTATGTATGCACACACATATTTTAAAATTAGTTTTTTTGCATTGAATGGTTATGAGGGGTTCCACCAAAAATAAAGAAATTAAGAGTAAGTGTGGTCCAGGAGTAAAATAGCATGAGAACCATTGGTCTAAGGATTATATATCAAAGAAGGATTAACAATATTAACTTCTTCAGCAGCATCAATCACAGGGATGTCACTGAAACTACACTTTTTTTCAAATTTATTAATTACTCACATATTTTAAAATGGGTTATTATGTGTTATTTTACTAGTGTACATAAATATTCCATAGAATTTAGTTGTTAAATATTTCAATACATTAGTTTTTACTTCAAAATAAAGCATATACATTTAATATTTCTATGATTCAATTCCTAAACTTATCTATTAGCAAAAACTAAAGATTTTGCATTTTTCCCCATTGAATGATTACTGGGGTTCACCCCCAAAAATCAAGCATAAAAGTGGTCCATGGGCAAAATAGGTAAAGATCCATTGCTCGAAGCAATATTTGTTTTTCCCTGTCTCTCTCAGTGCTTGGTCTACCATAGTAAAAGGTTAATGCCTAAATTTAGAAGACAAGAGATCATTACAGAATCAATGTTCTCAGCTTAAGAAATGAAAAAAAAAAAGACTTGAATGAAATTATTGATATATCTAATCAAAATCTACTGAGAGGCTTTGCAATTGAGAACTTAATTGGCTTTGTTATTCATGTGTTGCAATTACATCATTTTTTTTAAAAAATCATTTCACTCCAAGGAAGGTGATAAAACCACTAAGATGCAAGGGGATATTGAGAGTGAAAGAGTCTGAGAAAAAAACATTATTGATGAGAAAGGACAATAAAAGAACAGGGGGTCAAGGAGAAAGAAGATGATGATGATTGATGCTGCATTTAAATTTTTGATGATCAAAGTTGACTGGAAAGCAAGTTGCTGAAAGAGAGATTTAGAAGTGAGAATTGCAGGAAAAGAGACTGTTAGCACAGAACTTAGGGCTACATCTTGCAATTTCAGTAATGACATTATGAGACCTAACGGCCAATCTAGTACTGTCCTTAGATTCATGAAGTTGACTTAACAAATATGAAAGCTCATCAGAATAATTACCATATTTATAGAAAAGGTACGGAGCTCTTTTTATTTTTATTTTTTTTTTAATCCTATCACCTCAAGCAAGGCAGAAATACCACTAATATGCAGGGAGTTACAGGGAGTGAAAGTGAAAGAAAAGACTGAATATATAGAGGACTGAGGAAAGGATAAACAATAAATGGATTCAAGAGGGCAAAAGATAGCAATTGATATTGCATTTAAATTTTTGAAGATTGTAGTTATCAGAAAAGCAAGTAAATGGAAGGAAGTTCCACAGGCGGGAAGAAAATGTTAGAGTAGAAGTGGCAGCTGTATTTAACTATTTCAACAGTAAATGGGTGGGACCTAGATGCCAATCTAGTAGCACACTTAAATTCATGTAGTCAGGGAACAGAGTAAAAAAAAGCTTGTCAACGCATTGCCTTGAAAATATTTGTAGAAAAGAAAGAGAGAAGATATACCACATTGGTGAGAAAGTGACTGAAGTTGAGATGTCATGTCAGAATCAGTTACATTACAGATCCTTCTTTGGATTTTGTCAAGAATCTCTAGATGAATAGCAGGAAAACCAGACCAAATATGGCAGCAGTATTTGATGAACGGACAAATAGTAGATTTGTAAATGCACAAGATGACCAAAAAAAAAAATTTTCTGGCACAACACAGTGTCAGCTATGTACTTATTAAAAATATCAAATCTAACATTGTTATATTTTAAATTCAATCAGCAAAATAATATTTTGGGATCTTTGCTTCAGCATAACAGTACTTTCTTATTACTATAAATGTTACTTTTAGAGGGTACACATGTTTGATTTTCGGGGGGGGGGGTTCTTATGAAATAACAACCAGCTGAGAGTGATATATCCCACTAATGGAAGATTGTGTCTCTGGCAAGAATTGAACCTGTATCCTCTTTTATATCAGGGGAAACTGTTTCTATAGCCAAAACATTCCTTTGTCAAAAACAGTTATTGACATACAAATTAGGTTCAGAGAACTAAGTTTTGGCTTATTCAGTAGCCATCACATTTCACTAATATCCTTGGAAAAGGTAAGAATCCATCATGTTTTCTCCCATCTATATATTAAATAACAATGTAGATTGACATGCAAACCTCAAATGTAATCCAGTCTAGCAGAATTTTAATACTGAATTCAAAACTAGAGAAAGCAACGGGAAACCACTTCCTTATCTTTCTCAAAATGTAATAATTCACAGATAAAAAAAAACTCTGTAGAAAAAAAAAATCAAAGAATACATATTTCTTTTAAAGTTATTTCATCCAATACAAGGCCCAAAAGCCACTCAAGGTAGAAGGTTACTGAGTGAGATTGTTGGAAGAGAGAGGGAAGGATGAAGGGCATATGATGAGGATATGTAGGATAGATATTGGAATTGATATTCTACAAAATCCATAACTATAAAAGACAATGTCTATGTGCATCCAGAGATAGAAGGAATCTCATTTGGCTTTGGATTGGTTTGGTTTTCATCAATATTTATCTATTTTGGTCTATAACTTTGAGAAGGCTCATTATTATATCCAACCTTGTCTAGATGCTCAGATGACGTCTTGTTAACTCAACACTTCAGTCAATTCGTTCATCTGTTTTCATCGGGTCTGTTCCATGAGGGTGGAGGGAAGAAATGTCTTTCTTCAAGAAAAAAAAATGAAGGAACTCATCAGTAAGTCTTGAGAAAGGAGGTGGTTCTTTTTTTTTTAAATCAGTATCACCACACACAAGGCAGTAAAGTCACTAAGACACAAGGGGTAACTGAGTGCAGAAGAATTATGAACAGAAACATTAATAATGAGCAGAAAGAGGAAAGAGTAATCAGGAGGGCAGTAGATAGTTATTGACATTGCATTTAAATTTTTGCAGGTTAAAGTTGACTGGAAAGCATGGGATCAGAAGGGAGTTCCACAAACAAGAAAAGAAACTCTTGGCATAGAACTTATGGCCACATCTTGCCAGCTTGACAGTAAATAGATGAGACCTCATTGCCAGTCTAGTACTGGGCTTAAATTCATAAAGTCTAGATATAATAGTGACGAGCTCATCTGAATAATTACCATGAAAGTATTTATAGAAAAGGCACAGAAAAGCAGCATTATGGCAGTGGGAAAGTGACTGAAGCTGAAATACTAGATCAGGACTGATAATATTGCTGATTCTTCTTTGGATTCTAAGGTAAATGTGGCAGCAATACTATAAGCATGGACAAATGATAGACTTATAGACGTCTAAGACAAATTATGGAGAGAAATATTGTCTTGCACGATAGTGAAAGAACTTTCTTAGCAACTGACCTACCAATGAATTCAATATTTTTATTCTGACACTGATGGTTTGGTCAAAATCTTACATTAACAAAGAGATACAAAGAAGAAATATTCTAACAGATAAGCTACAAGGAAAAAGAAAGCTAAAATCAAAAACACAAGAAAAGAGAAAAGAGAAAGAAGAGAAAGAAAAGAGAAAGAAAAGAGAAAGAGAAAGAAAAGAGAAAGAAAAGAGAAAGAAAAGAGAAAAAGAGAAAAGAGAAAGAAGAGAAAGAGAAAAAGAGAAAGAAAAGAGAAAAGGAAAAAGAGAAAAAGGAAAAAGAGAAAGGAAAAAGGTGAAAGGAAAAGAGAAAAGAGAAAGAAAAGAGAAAAAAGGAAAAGGAGAAAAAGGAAAAAGAGAAATGAAAAGAGAAAAGAGAAAGAAAAAAAGAGAAAGGAAAAAGGAGAAAGCGAAAAGAAAAGAGAAAAGAAAAAAGAGAAAGAGAAAAGAGAAAGAAAAGAGAAAAAAGAGAAAGAAAAGAGAAAAAGAGAAAAAAGGAGAAATGAAAAGAGAAAAGAAAAGAAAAAAGAAGAGAAAAAATAAACTTTCCTGCTTATAATCCTGAATCTACCATTTAAGAATGAAAATGTGTATGTGTCATAATTAATTTTATGCTAAATGAATTCATTTCAACATATCTTTATATAATAGATATTTATATATTGTAACAGCCGCTGAAGAGACAGGTATATGTATCCCTGTAAACATATAAAAAGAGACATTTATCACATACATATATGTGTTAATTTCTGCAAACACGCTACCATGTGACCCCATAGGGGTAAGGAACTATCAAGTGTTCATTCTCTGGCTACTACTGGTCTACATATGTTCTTTATCTATGTTCATAAGTAGGTCAAAAAGGTCCATATGATAGTTATCTGTTTGCTAGTATTAAGTCTGAAATTCTTCTCTTTGACACCACCCACACATCCCCTTTATCATTTTCAGTTTGTTTTAAATTGTTATTGTTTCTGTTTGAAAAGTGTTTTCCTTGTTTATCTATTTCTTTGAAATCTATAAGGACCTTCAATAAGTTCTTGCAGATTTTTCATGAAAAGTAATGTTTTATTTACAAAAAAAGTAGTAAGAAACATGTCACTGAAAGTATTGTCCATTGCTAGGCACTACTTTTTCCCATCTGTCAGCATTTGAATTCCACATCAGAAAAACAACACATCTCTTGAGGTTAACTACAAGTCAACCCATTTTTTGGTATCTTCATAAGAATGAAAGTGCTGTTCAGCCAGGCCATGTGCCATTGATCGGAACAAGTGATAATCAAACAGGGCAATGTCTGGTGAATACAGCAGGTGTGATAGGACTTCCCATTTAAGTGTTTCCAAGTAGGTTTTCACTAGTTTTGCAACATGTAGCCTAGCATTGTCATGTCGCTGTTCATACATTCTTCAATACTCAGGTAAAACGCATCAATTGCAGTTGATAGGTAATCTCCCATGATAGTTTTGGTCAGTTTGAGCAGCTTACAATAAATTACACTGAGCTGATCCCACCAAATAAAGAGCAGAAGCTTTGAACCATGGATATTCAGCTTTGAGCGTTGATGCATGTCCAGGCTTACCCAACAATCATCTATGCTTAGAGTTATCGTAGTGTATCCACTTTTCATTGTGAGTCATGATACGATGCAAAAAACCTTTCCTTTTCTGCAGTTGAAGCAGCTGTTCACATGTAACAAGACACCATTCGATGTCTCTCGGCATCAACTTGTATGGCACCAAATGTCATTGCTTTTGAATCATTCCTTTCAAACGTTTCAAAACTGTTGTGAAATCAATTCCTAATGATTCTGTCCAGCTTGCACCTGACATGAGTCTTCATGAAGTAATGCCCCTAATTCTTCATCTTCAAACTTTGGTGTGCCGGAGCATTCTTTATCTTCAACAACAAAATCATTATTTTTAAAGTACCTAAACCATGGTTACTGAAAGTCTTATCAAGAATTCTGTGTGCTTCAGCTGCAGGTTTCTTTTGAATAAAGTAGTGCAGTAAAATTCTCCTCAAATAAACTTTCTTTGTCATGAAATCCAACATGTCTAATGCTATGAAAAACAAAGTTGTTTACATTTTGATAAAATGGCATACACTGAATTTCAAGCTTGCTTATAGTACTTCCTTATAGATGTGTTACCATCTGAAACTACATGTACACAGTTTGGGAAACAGTGAGAACTTATTCAAGGTCCTAATATTTAGTTTATATATTTCCCCTTTTTGAGAGGTACATTTGTTATTTGTTTCTAGTTTTCATAGCATTTTTCTTGAATAAAAGGATAACATCAGTAATGCAGCATGGACCTTTCTCATTGAGATTAATGGTCAGCTGCTCATAGACAGTGTGAATATAGCAATCAAAACAGCATGTTGACTGTCAGTTTCAAGGTTCGGTATGATTTTTAGACCAAATCTGATTTTTATCTGAAGATCACATTATATCGATAAACACCATCTTTGGTATTGACCACTATTCCCTTATAAATATTAAACACTATACATGAGTTAATTATAAAGTATAACTTAGTTCTAACACAGGGCCACATGTATGGATATTTAGTTAGGATCAAACTCACTAATCAGTTAAAAAAATATCTCAGAGAGGTGTCATGGCAGGTTTGCAAGAGGACATTTAGCATTTTGAAGACATTTTGCAAATGATACATGCTGTATCTAGTTTGAAAGTAGAGTTTCAGATCTGGTATATTTTTGTCCTAAAGTTTCTATCGAGTTATGACAGTCACAACTCACATATATTTCATCATTTATCTTTAAATGATCAGTTCTGGATAATTGCTGGGAAAGTCACTGGAATCTTGAAATGGATATTATATTGTAACCTACAGGTTTAACATGACATTCTTTTTCTAAAAATGACCAATATTGTAACTGACCATGGGTTGCAATGAAAAAGGTCATGCTTCAAATTAATGTTGTCCTTTTATTTAGGAAATGCACAGTGAAAACAAAAAAAAAGAACTCTCAAAAAGAGAAATGGCTAAACAAAATATATTTCAAAGAAAAATTAATTTGAAACAAATTCAAAGAAATGATAGAGACAAATGATGTCTTAGAAAAGAATTTCAGACTTAGTAGGAAAGAAATGTTTGCCATGTTGCCTCATAGACCAACAGTAGCTAAAAGAACCTGTGGTCCCCTAAAGAAAATAATAGTATCTTAGAAAAGAATTTCAGACTTAGTAGGGAGCAGACATTTACCATGTTGCCTTGTAGACCAGCAGTTGCTAAAAGAACATGTGGTAGTTTCCTTCTTCCTAAGGAGTCACATGTGGTAGCAGACTCACAACAGCTAAACATGTCCGTATATATGTGATAAATGTCTATTTTTATATTTTTACAAAACATTAAAAATTATCCTCATAATTTTAACACTATTATTAGTGCTACCAAGCTACTACTAAATAGCAAACTCTACAAGTCTGGGTACACATATACTAGTCCCTTTGGTGACCATTACAAATACCATGTACATTTTGGGGCACAAAATTAACACATAATTGAGCTGAAAACGAACGTCTTTATGGCTGTATTGTGCAAGCCCACTGTAGCTAATATGGAAACAGATTTCTCAAACGAGGACATTTTAGAAAAGGTTACATCACTTAGAAAACAGTGGACGAGCACAACTTGAATGTTTAAGACATGATTATTAAAAGGAGGGAGGAAGAAACTAAAACATTATTTACAAATACAAACTACGAATGGTATAAACAAATGACCCATGAAAATAAAAATTTAGATGCAATAAACTCAGATATTGATCAAGTTCTTCAACTTTTTCTATTTTATTTGGGAATCGAGATTTTTAGTTATAATGCATCTCAAACAAGTTCAGACATGCATACATATATTGATTTTTAGAGAATTGATTAAATAAACCATATTGAAGTATTATTTCTGAAAGCTCTGTAGAGACGTAAGTAGAAATAGATTTCTCTCTCTTTCTCTCTCTCGTTTTGTAGGTTCATCAATGGAAACAAAAGAAGAATCTTGTTTGCTAAATAGTTCATTATAAACATAAAATCATTGCATAGTTATTCCTAGTGTTTAATTTATACCCAGAGGAATTCAAAAATACAAGAGGTCATAATTTGAAAAGTTTGAAATTCCATTCAGTAGGAAAAATACACATAAAATATTAATTTACAAGCCACTGAAAATTTCAGATTTCCTATTTGAATTTTCAGACATTATTATTCAGTTAATGATTAAATAAGCAACATCTTATGAAATAACCATGAATATTCCACTATTGCATCATTAAATATTTGAGCTTGACAACTTTAACCAAATATTGCCATAACAAAGATAAAAATGAATGCAAGTCATAATTTAAAGAAGTAAGAGGGTACAAACGAAAAAAATTTAAACTGTCAAGTTTTTCCATTTGACTAAAGGAGATATTCAGCACATGATATCATTATCTTCTTTATCTTCTCTCTCTCTCTCTCTCTTTTCTTCCTTTCACACAAACAATTTTCTTTTAGAATCTATTGTTCAGGATTAAAAGTTGTCAATACAAACCTCATATTATAAATTCTTCTTTTATAAATTAATAAAAGCTCATAGTAATAATAATAAGCCAATCAAAATAATTTTAGAATGGAAAAACAAAATATAAAACAATTCTACTGCACCATTATCCTTTATTGTGTATAAGTAAGATCATCTGCCACTTTTCTAGGTAGGGAACAAAAAGACATATTCATAATATATCTTATTAGAATCCCTGTTAGAGACAAGCACCAGCCAATATTGACAGAGTCTTTTTAGAAGAGAATATAAAGTTGGGCTTCCATAAAACAATTCTACTGCCCCATTATCCTTTATTGAGTATAAGTAAGATCATCTGCCACTTTTCTAGGTGGGGAACAAAAAGACATATTCAAAATATATCTTATTAGAAACCCTGTTAGAGACAAGCACCAGCCAATAATGATAAAGTCTTTTTAGAAGGGAATATAAAGTTAGCCTTCCTAACAATTATACTGCACCATTATCCTTTATTGAGTATTTATAATGAAAGATAAAATAACTCAGTATTAATTATACCTCCCTTGACTTTAAATTACCTCAAGGTTAGTGGGATAATTCATATTAAGTGCACATAAAACACACGAAGCACACACAGACAAAGAAACAGTAAGAAAGTGATTAAAATTTTCAGTTTCATTTAAAAATCCTGATCAGTTGATTCAAGTATATGGTATGAACTTTTGCCCAATCTAAACTTTAAAAATCTATGAGGAAACATTGAAATTATATCTGTTGGTGTTTTTTATTCTTTTTTTGTTTTGGTTGTGCCAAGAACTTTTCAGTACCTATTCAGAAAATTTTTCTTGCAATTACTTAGTCACTGGGCATATGAGAAAAAAAAAGACTCGGAGTGAAATTGAATGGAAAAAATTTGTTTACTTAGAACAGATTTACATTGAAAGGAAAGCAAGTCTTAAAGTCTTGCTCAAAAATTTTTTTTGAGCATCTCAAAAAATTAAGGAGTTCAGCAGAAAATCAAATCTTATAGTTTGAAGTGGGTTTCTAAATGTTAAACAAATCCTTTCTTTTACTGACAAAATCAA